TAATATAATGTTGATATGATCATATATTACATTACTGAAAAAAAAAAAGATGTTGAATCATGAAAATTATATTTTCATTTGCATATAGAATTCAAAAAACATCTTGACAAATTTTATCTATTATAAAACATAATGTATTCTGTAACAATAGTTAGTGATTTGTAATACTTTCACATCTCTTGGTAACCTCAAATATTGTTGAATTTTAGAACTAAATAAGTTGTATTATGGTTCATAATATTCGAGAACTTCCATATTCAATGTAATTAGCTTTGCTAAGTAATACCTATCTCAGAGTTTGCTCCATCCTGCCAATATTATCGAAATATTTGTTGACTTTGAAAGGTGATGCTTAGATTGAATATATTAATTGTCAAGATCTAAACGTTTGACATACATTACCTCAGTCATTTGAGAAATTCAGTAAATATTAGTCAGTTGTTTTTTGTTAAATACTGTCGTCAGCATGATTCAAGGACAATGTATGATGATATCAAAAGAAATTTGATCATTTATCTAAAACTTATATAATCGTCAAATAAAAAACATCTCATTTCAGAAAACAAAATGCAACAAGAAAACAATAATAATTCATGTTTTGAATGGATTCAATTATTCATAACAATTTCTATTCCTGTCGCTATTGGTGTTTATACGATATTAGAAAGTAAGCGTGATTTTGCAATAGAAACTCATAATCGTAAACAAGACCTTTATATAGCCGATGATCAACAAAAAGATTTAATTCTTCATGAATGTCAAAAAACATTAAGTAAATTAATTGAAAAATATGGTACAAAACTTAATAAAAGTTCATCCGCTTCAATTGTTGCTCGTTTTACAACACTTTCAGCATTAAATCGTCTTGATTCTAATCGACGAAATTTTCTCGTTCGTTTATTATATGAAGCTAAATTAATCACATATCGATCAGATGATTATCAACCACCAGTTTCACTTCAATCTGCTAATTTAACTGATTTAAATTTAATTGATGATGACTCTGAACAAAGAATATTAGTTCATCTTTCATTGGAAGGTACGATTATGACAAGAGCTGATTTTCATGAAATTAATATCCGTGGTGCAAGATTTCGAGATGCTATACTTATTAATGCTGATTTTTCTTGGACTTGGAATAGTCCAACATTCGATGATGAGATGAATACTTTTAAATATAATTCTTCAAAATTGTTTTTCGACAATGCAAATTTAACATCTGCTTCATTTTTTTCTGCTACATATGATAATGTTGATTTTACTCGTGTGATAATGATTCATGCTAATTTACATATGTTTTTCTGTGTCAATTGTTTATTTGATTCTGTTACTATGATTGAAGTAAATCTAGAAAATGCAGCTATTGAAAATTCTTCATTTATGTTTGCAAAACTTGACTATGCTAATTTATATCGATCAAAATTTGGTCTAAATGTTGATTTTTATGAGACGATTATGAATAATGTTAATGGTGCTTATACTAATTTTACAAAATGTGCATTAACTAAAACTAAATTAATGAATTCAATATTTGATTATGGTGTATTTATTGATAGTACCTTTTCATATGCATATATGTATAAAGTATCAATGAAATATTGTAGAGTAATCAATGGAAATTTTACGGGTGCAGATTTAAGTTATAGTGATTGGAGATATGCTCATTGTGAACGATGTATATTTAATCAAGCAAATTTGACAAATGCTAATTTATTTGGTGCAACATTTATTAAGAGTGATTTTCGATATTCTGAGATTGTGGAAAAACAATTATTACAAACTGCTTCTCTAGAATGGTCAATGCTTTCTATATGAAATGCATTTAATTACAAATGAAATTTTTGTAATATATTGATATGTTTTATATTGTAAATAATTTTTAATTTAGTTTTTGTTCATTTATAAATACTTAATGATGATCATAATCTTGAGTTAGTAAAACTTGAGATGTCGTATGTTTTTTCAAATCTGTGATGTGATTTAGTTTTTTTATGTTATATGGAATCTAGAAAAATTATACTTCGAACTATTTTTATATTTTACTGAATTGTATGTCTAACAGAATCAGAAAACAATGATCTATCTATTCTTCTTATTGACATACTATGGTGTCAGCTCATAATCCCGTATTTTTTGCAATGAATAGAATGATCTACCAAGATAAAAGTATCTTAAATCATTGTGAATCTGAAGAACTGGTAAATTATTCTAAAATTTCTCTTTCATACGGTATTAATGTCGGATTTTTATTTAAATGTCTTCTATTGTTTTTCAAATAATTTTTTATCGTTTCAAGCTATGTAGCTCAGGTTGTGATCATTCGAAAGAGCAACCTTGGAAATAACGATCCATATGAAATTTATTACGTTCAAAAATCTTCCTGATGATTATTTTTCAAGCTGATTTCGTTTTCTTTTTGTTGTCTATCTTCACAAGTTTTCATGATGATTTAACATTAAATTATGCCAAATTGTAGCTCAAATCTCATTGTACTTGTTGTAAAAATGTCACAACTTTTTATGGACGTCTTGACTTCTTTATTTGGTTATAGATTGTGCTCAAAACATGTTGTTTTTACCACAAATTCAATACGGTTTGGTCTAGAATTTGGCATAATTTCATATGAATCATCATGAAAACTCATGAAGATAGACAACAACAAAAAAACGAAATCAATTTGGAAATAATAATCAGAAAGGATTTTTTTAACGTAGGAAATTTCATAGGAACCGACGTTTCCAAGATTGCTCTTTCGAATTATTACAACCCGAATTACATAGTTTAAAACGATAAAAACTTGTACGATAAATAATGGAGGACATTCTAATAAAAATCCGACATTCGTTTCATTCTCAATTTTATTTAAATATTTATTCATGATTATTTCAGCCCTGTGCATTCCTTGACAAAACCTAGAAGTATCTTTGTGGATCCATAATCCGAAGAATTCGAGTATTTATCGTTTGCAGAATCTCTCATAGTGGAACATGTTCCTATTGAGCATTTCTTCAAGCTCGTGCTTTTGATATTTTTTTTTGCATTAAGAATGCAATATCCTACCAGGATCTTTACAAGAATGATAGAAAGGATTCTTTCGAGTTTTTATCAGATTTTGTCGACACCTATTCGATATCCTATTAAAGTTTCTGTCAGGAATCATAGCTATATCAGACAGAAATTTTCCTAAGAATAGAACAAGATGAGTAAGAATTCTGAATTGTTAAATTCTACTAAATTTTGATCAGGATTCTGTTTCAATTGCCATTTATGTTTGTCTTTTGGGAATATTTTCTGGACTTTTCTAGAACCAGCGTTTCTAGTCTTGAAAAAAATAATAGCAATCTTGATGAGACAATACAGAGATGTAGTTAAAATTTTTGCAGATTTATGTTTAGACTATACCACACTTTGATATTCGAGGTCTTATCAAGAATTTAACCGATTCCATTAAGGATCTTAACAATAACAGACAAACTAGTTTCATCAGGCTTTTAGCTAGCTTTTGTTGAGGATTTGTTCAAAATTTTTATGAATTCAATATCATCTGACATTTAGGGAACAAAATTTATTATCTGTCCGATTTTATACAAGATAAAATTTGAATCATTATTATATTACAGTGTTAATATCAGATTCGTTGTTGCACTGAGTTTTTTTTTTTATAAAATTACTATTTTTAGTGACAATGAAAGCTTTCAGTAAAACTATTCTCAGTTTTATTTAACCGTTAAAAAAAACAAGGTTATCTAGACATTTTTTAAACTCGATTGGAGAACATGTCACAGCAGAAGTTTGTCAATTCAGAGTAATATTTTGAATTGAAATATTCCATATTTCAAATGTTTCTCGGGATAATTTGTGTTAACACAAAAATTCAACTACAAGTTAACGCTTCAGAGAGGATTAAGATATTGAAGATTCATTTTAATTATATGTAATAACATCGTACAGTATACTCGGCATGCTGATCGGTTCGTGAACTGAAGATCTACACATCAATAATCAGAGTTAATTTTACTTCTGTTGTGTTTAGAAAATCTTGCAAAGATCGTTTGAAGATATCTTATGGCGCACTCACAGAAGTCTAGTTTCCTTCTTTAACATACAACCAGTGGCTTTTATTTTAATTTAGAAATGTGTGAAGTTCTGTCAAGCTCTAGAAATCTCGAGACTACAAACTGTTTTCAGGCGTTTGTCGTATCCTAGAGAAAACGGACGAATCTGCGCCAGGTTCTCATTAGGTCTATAACAGATCTTTTATGGAAACACCAAAGATTTTCTAACTACTCATGATATGCATAGTAATTGAACCCACACAGGACTAAACAAACAAGCACGCAAAGATCTTATGGGTGTGGGATGGTCCATAGGGAAGATTCGGGAGTTTTTCAGAGATTTCAACACCAGCATCTATCCATCATCACGGGTGTGGGTGTGAGTGTGGATTAAAGTGAGTTCGTGTCACAGTTAATAACATGAACATTTACAAACATTCACGACACTATCATCTTCATCCATCCACACCCAAACTTGAGACCCTCTTATAACTAGACCCACACATATATTGCCATTAGTTATGTTGAATAAGTAACGAGAAATATGAGATAGTAAAATAGAAAAATCATAGCATTCGATTATTTTCTAATACAGTAATTAATTTTTGAATTACTTCAACATCAATTGTGTTATTGTTTAGATTTAATTGTGTGAGTGTCTGTGGTTATTGATGTAAATAAATTAAAAATTAATGAATGCAATATTTATCTTACACGATTTATCGTTAATGCATCAAATAAATATTCAGCTCCTAAGTCATATATTTGACTTCCACATAGATCCAGCTGTCTGAGTGTCTATGTAAAATGATAAACATATAAATATATGAATAAATAAATCAACTAATTATTATACTCTGTTATTTTTTAATGCATCAGCTAAATATTGTGCTCCTTGATTACCCATTTCATTCCATGCAAAGTTCAAACTTGTAAGCGTCTGTATCAAATGATAACAATCAATAATAAACAGATGAATAGAGTATTTATTTTACTTCATTGCTTTTTAATGCAATAGCTACATATTGCACTCCTGAAGATCTGATTGCATTGGATTGAAAATTTATAGTTGTGAGTGTCTGTCAAATGTTCACTGTAATATATACTCAGATCAATGATTTAAACGTCTGGATTCATGAGTTTCCCACGGTATCTCTCAGAAATGACGCCATTTCTGACCGAAAATGATAGAAACTAGGGACTAGAAAGCAGGAATCCGATGATCATATCTAGTTGCTGGTTCTGACCAATTACAGTTGATTTCGACAAGCACTGGATGAATTCGATCAACAGAGTGGATTCCTAACCTCAAGTGCCTACCATCGTCGAAGTTTTCTAGAGGGAACTAGTCGTGTCTCATTCATTTGGATAGCTCAGATAATAAGTATCTCACTTGATTAGTATGCAATGCAGTTGCTAGATATTGTGCTCCTTGATCACCAATATTATTCCATCCGAGACTCAGAGTCGTCAATCCCTAAGATGATTGATTAGTATAGATCAAATTGTATATAGAACAAGTCTCACATGGTTATCTAGTAATGCATCACCTAGATATTTTGCTCCTTCAGCCCCAATATCATTTCTTTCAAGATTTAAGGTGGTAAGTGTCTGTGTCGAATGATAAACAATAAATATGAAATATTGATATATAGAAGTATATTCACTCGATTAAAATATAATTCACTAGCTAAATATTTTACTTCTTCAAAACCCATTTCGTTTTTTGCAAGATTCAGTATTAAAAGTGTCTATAATGAACAGTAAAAATAAAAATGAATTTCGAGTCTACACAATTAATTTCACCTGATTATGTTGTAATCCATCAGCTAAATATTTGGCTCCATCGACGTTAATTATATTTGATACGAGACTTAATGATGTAAGTGTCTATTTAGAATAATTAAATTCAATAGAAAATAGATAAGTAAAGTAAATATCTTACTTTATTCTTTGATAATGCATGAGCTAGATGTTTAATTCCTTCTGCATCGATTAAATTTTCACAAAGATTCAGTGTTGTAAGTGCCTATATGTTAAATATTAATAATAGACATTAAATAGATGATTATTGTTATTTTCTCACTTGATTGTTCTGCAATGCATTTGCTAAGTATTGTGTTCCTTTTGAGCCAATACTATTTCCTTCAAGACCCAGTGTCATCAGTGTCTATATAAGTAATAAAAAAACTACATATCACATAGATATTGATAGAGAAAATCTCAAATACATTTTTTGATTATCATATGATCTTAAGTTAATGCCAACAACAAAACTATGAGTAATGACAATAAGATTATTTATATTAGGAGAGAGATGTTTTTCTATTAGTCTATATCTATAGATATTGAAATATTTTTTCTATAATATTTTATGAATATCGATTTAGACAATGATCTAGATGGCAAACAACACAATCAGGATTGCCATATAGTTATTTTAGCTGTAAACAACAGTGTTTCACTGTCATAATACGTACTACATCGTTTAATAGAAAAATACTAAAAGACAATTGCACATTATCTTTGTTATCCATTATGATTAGTCAGTATATAGATGTATATGAATGAGAATACTGGATGAAAACCTCTTTCATATTCGTGTAGTCTAAGTATCATCCAGCACTTTTTTTCATAATCCATTAGTTTTTCATTTATTGGAATGTTTTCTATTATTCATCTTTAATTCAGTAAACTTCTCTATTTTCGATAAAGTAACTTTCATTTGACTCGTTTCTTCTTGGTTATATCAATGAAAAAACAATCAAAACACATCGGTAAAGTAGAAATATTTATCGTCTAAAACTATGAGAACATTTTTCACTTAATTGATCAATTACTGCTCAACATTATTATTTGAATATAAAACATGACTCTTAGTAGGTAAATACAAATCAAAATATAACTTTATCGATCTAGATTTCTTTGCAATAATTTATCTCACTTGATTAGTTTCCAATGCATCAGCTAACCATTTTGCTCCATTAGGACCAATATTGTTCCATCGAAGATTTAGTGTTCTAAGCGTCTGTATTCAATAAAAAAAACAAAGATGAAATTAATAATTCAAAATCCTATCTTACATTGTTTTTAGTTAATGCCATACTCAAATGTTTTGCTCCTGTAGGACCAATATCATTACATATAAGAATAAGAGTTGTGAGTGTCTGAATAGATATGAGTGATCATGAAATATTTCACAATAAATCAAAGTATTTTACTTGATTTCTTTCTAGTGAATCAGCTAGATATTTTGTTCCTTCAGGACCGATTTTGTTGACTTCCAAGTTTAGGGTTGTTAGTGTCTATATTGAATGATCAATATGAAATAATAAAGATTTTTATCTTACTCTATTATATTGTAATGCATTAGCTATATATTGTACACCTCTATTGCCAATATCATTAGTTGATAGATTTAGTGTAATCAATGTCTATGGTAAACAATAAATATCCATATAAGATAAATAATAATACTATTGTTTTACATTATTGGTATGTAATATATTGGTCAAATGTTGCAAGTTATTCTCAGGAAGTTCACCAACAGATAGCTTCAGTGTGTCACATGTCTGTTTGAAATATCAGTAGAAAATATAATATATTCAACAAATAAACAGATTCTTTTAAGTTTATTCTTTATATAAAAGTTGATGATTATAGAAGAATCACATTTAATAATTCATAGTGGATAAATGGAAGAAATTAGAAATATTCTGAGATTTACGACATATTTAAGTCTATAAGATGTAGAAACATTATTCATTATAGTGTGAGTTATATGAAAAGTTGAGTTGTTATGTCGACAATAAGATTTATCATAAAAGTTGAACATCTATTCTTTCTGAAGAAAATAAAAATCTATTACTAACTCTAAATCATAAAATTCTCTTACATACTTTTTTCTTAGACTTTTTTCAGGATTTAGAACAAAAGATATTCATCACTATTTTTGTTTCTTTAGAGCTGCTTTTGACTTCATTTATTCACTAATTCTTCATTTACTTGCTTATAACAGACTGACGCAAAGTATCGAAAAAGGAAAACCTCGCATGTAACAATATTTGAAAACTATACATCCGAATTATCCGCTCTATTATTCTTTATATTGAATGAGATAAACTTTATTAGAATATATTATTATATATAGTTAGTGATTGAGTGAATCAAATAACTATGTCAATATAACTGTAAAGATAAAGATAGCACCCTCACCAGTCAACATGGTGTACTTGATTCAATATTTCAGCCGTATTACAGATTGCATTGTCAATGGTAATGATGGAATCATGTGACCTATCATGAAAAGTCATGTTGAATGATTGATTCTATTTTCTCATCTTCACTGTTATAGATATTACAACTTAACAAGATGAATCAGTCTAATGTAGTCAGTATCAATTAACAAAATTCAAACAAATAGCCTTCAAAAATCTTTCCATTTGAAAGTTTCATTTCAACCATTTTCTTTCTCGAGACTTTCATATGTTTTATCTTAGTGTTTTTCTTTTCAAGCTTTTCTAAATAAATCGTTTGTAAATCAACATATGTACTTATACAAGTATTTATCATCCTCAGAAAAAGAAATCGATGGTCATTTTCTCTTTCTTTTTTTTTGTACCCATGTCGCATTTGAAAAATATATATGTATGTTCGAAATTACTTGTCATCTTCATCATTCTTAACTCTCAATAATAACGATTTGTAAGGATTACTATTCTGATTTACTTGAGCGAGTGCCAGTAAAATGCTTCACTGATTGATTGATTAAATCTTAAAAACGAGTAGCAGAAAACAGAAGTTTACCTGATACCGATTGTAAGTATCAACGATTGTATTGAGTCGCATGCAAACATTTCTCAATGAGAGAAAAATTGTTAATTCATCAAGATGATCCAGTATACGATAAACATTTTCGACGGGTAATGTAAGAAATGATGAAGAAACCTTGGCTGTCATTGACGTTCTTTTCTTTTTCTTTTGATATTTACACACGTAAGTGTTTAGGTCAGTATATGACTACACATATGTTTACTAAACACTTTTACGAAAATTTTGATGGTGTGATGACGCCATTGGAAAAAAAGAATAGGAAGAAAATTATTAAATCAACTGTAAATTGCTATTATGTCCTTGGTATTTTATGTGAAACGTGGATTTATCTTGTTGGAAATTACCAACCAAACATTTGCGTTTTTTCGAAGGTTATAAGAAAGAAAGAGAAAAAAAAACAAAAGAAAGTTTTCGATAGGACACGTCCAATTAATACTTGAGTCATTAATGTAAATAAAAACAATAGCAATATATGGATCTTACATATATAAAACAAAACCACAACTACACATTGGTGATGAAAACATATATGATTCTTAGAGATACATATATTGGAGCTAAAAGAGGTCGCTAACACTGTCACAATGACTATCAAAGTTGTTAATATAAAACCGTATCTTTGATTCTATTATATAATGACAACGAAAACTAATCAATAATATTTATTTTTAATGTTTTTCTACTGCCTTAAACTATTAAAAAAATATGCAAATAGTCCTATGAATAAAGAAATTTATCTACACTATCTATGAAAACCTGTACTTGGATTTTTCAACAGATTGTTTAATCTTAGACGAAAAACATGGTAGAGAACACACGGAAATATTTCATTGTGTGGAGAATAGCACAAGTCTATCACTTTACGTAGCTCGAATGAAATGAGAGCTTCATATTTTAGATGTTGAAAAGCTATATTTATGATTTTCTGAATATCTCATTCTTTGAGAATTTGCTAATCATTGATCTTTATTTCATGCATTCTTGCCGTAAATAATTTTTCACTACTTGAAGCATGTTTCAAACTCTTTTTAGCCTTGATGGAAGAAGAAAAAAATTCAAAAAACCAATTTTTTGAATAATTTTGGCAGCTAGATTGTGTGCAATCCATCAAGGGTCATTTTAAGATAGCTTTGTAATTACTATTGAATTATATTGTAAAATCTAAACAATCATCATTTTTTGATCATGCTGAATAAACATAGGTGTCTGTTCATCAATGAAATTTTAATATTTGAATGAAAGCATCGATCGATCATAAATTTGAGTCGACATACTGATGATGTCATAGTTTTGAAAGAAAATAATAGAAAGCAACGCTTAAACGGGAATTTTTAGAAAAGAAAAAACCCAATTTTTCGATTTGAGCGCATTCTTTTTTCATTTAAAACGCTTTTTTGTTAACTCAAAGCGTCACTTAAAAACAACTTTTTATGCGTTTAATTGCGTTTTTATTATTCTTTTACCGACAAAAAAAACGAATGTTTGACACACGTGATAGAACATTGTCGTCTGTCTAACGTGGTTTTTTTTCTGGGGAAAAAATTAACTATTTCACAAACAAGTTAAATAAATATTTGGATTCGTAATTTGACTAAAACCGATTTTCCTTTTTTTTTGAAACAAATCCGCTAATAATTATATAGACAAAAGTTTCATAATACTATACTCGAAGATATATCGCTTGAACAGGACTGTTCTTGAGAGAAATATTTTATAATTATAATTCAAAAGAATGGGTTCTACTGTTACGAAGGAAAGACATCCTTTGCGCAACAAACAGAATATAAGCTCAAATAAGTGAAACAATTTTATTTTGATTAGAAGAATCTCTTAGGCAAGTTGTAGAAGTTATAGATAATATGATACTATGGCAACACATTCTGTTAAATTCTTTTTTTCATACAGTGTTTCTTTAGTAAATAAAAGACTGCTGAGAATTGTTTATTGCCTTGACCATAATAACTTATGAGTAATACTGATAACAATCATTTTTCATTTGTATTATTCAGTTTTTGTTTCTTCATATTGCTTACTATGTTTTGTGTCTTTAAGAATTCAATTGAAGGCTTTTAGAAATATTAATTTATTTCTCGTATCCATTCGTGTCTCTTATCTCGAATTGATGAACTTATAATGATCTAGTGAAATTGAGTCAAACAAAAACATACGTAGAATTTTTTATTGGATAAATATTTTCACAAATATCTTTGTTTCGTTTTATTCATAAATTAAAAAAATTCCGTTGTGTGAATATCATTTGTTGTTTTTTTACAATCTTCAAAATTATATATCTGATAGATGACATTCATAGAATCCAATGATACGTAAGCATATATCTCTGAAGTGATATGTTTCATTCAAGAAAAGTTCAGATACATTAGGAGAAAAAAAAAAGAGAATTAATAGAAAATTTATCGAATGAAAATGTTTTTTTTTTATGTCAAGATGCTGCTTAGTTAGAAATATCAAACCAAAAAGCTCTAGATGAAAACTTAACGAATTGTAGTAAACTAATAAAAGGATAGATCTGACAACGGAAGCTTCCCAAGTGATAAATCGTTTTCGAGGTCGGACTCTATGCATTAGGTAGATTCAAGTGAAGTATGAAAAACTTCAAAAGGATACATTCCCTTGGGTCTCCCATCTGAAGTTATGACCATTTTAGTAGAGTTTTAGCCTATAGTTAAGTATGTACCAACAAATCGAATGGTGTTATTTTGAGCTAAAATTCTGTCCACAGATAGGTATGCTCGTGGTTAGAATGTCCTGAAAATTTCAGCTCAAAAGAACATCATTCGATTTGTTGGTACATATCTAGCTATAGGCTAAAATTCTACTAAAATGATTATAACTTCAGATGGAAGACCCAAGGGAACGTATCCTTTTGAAGTTTTTCATACTTCACTGGGATTTACTTAATGTACAGAGTCCGAACTCAAAAACGATTTATCGCTTGGGAAGCTTCCTTCGTTAGTCATTACAACAAAATTCGAATAATAGTTGACATACTGAAGTGTTCCGTTCCATTACCATCTAACAAAAGGTTAAATATAAATCAATTAAAGGAGCATCGATATGAATCAATTTTGACATAGATTTTCCGAAAGAAATTGAATTCATGTACTGAATATTGATTAGATTGAGTAGCTAATTGACTTGAACATATTGGGTGATAATAAGATGAAAGCAAGATGATTCTATTATACTTAATATTTGCCTATGAACAAAAACAAATAAAAGTACTTTATTCATTACTGTTAAGATGCTCAAAATAGAAGTAAAAAAAAAAAAGATTTAATAATTGTACTATAAGTTTGAAGAGTTAAACTAGTTAATAAGACCAAAACAAAACTTGAAATAATAATAAGAAGAAGGATTAGACAAATGGCAAATAATTGATCAGAAAAAAGTAATAGCAATACATCATTATTGAAAACATACCATCTATTTTTTTTTGCAACTTTAGTTCCATAGTCTGTGCATGGATTATTCATATACAATACATCTGATAGAGAACTTACATACATGTCTACTTAAATTACTATTTAGATTTGAGTTAATGGTATAGTGCGATTAACTTGATATTTCTCTCTCTCTCCTCTGTTCTACTATAGTACGGATGACTCGTACTATAGATATGTACATGTATCCTTTTCTTCATATTCATATATTTTCCACAGCATTCTCTCTTTTTGATACTCTTAACATATTTTTCCTCTCGTTCACGTTCTATTAACTCACATTGATATCAAGTTATATTATCAAGAAATATGACAATAATTATTTAGCATTGTTATATCATGTATGAAGCAGATTAAGTATGGAGTCAATTAATAATATTCATATGTAATGAACGCTTAATTAGTAGACAAAGATTATAAGTCAATCTACATAAGTAACGACCGATTCTGTTCAGTCCGAAATTCCAAACTTTTGCTTACGCCAGTTATCAATCTTTAGTCGATAGTGCTTGGGGAAAATATTTGAGAAATATCTCATTAATTTCTTTGGAGAAAATCTATCTGAAAGGTAATTATCTATTGTAACTCTATACAAATGTTAGAAGATTTTTTTTGAAAAATTCTCAGATTTTGACAGAGAATTCCCGAATAAGACTAAAAAGTTTGAATATGTGCATGAAACAATAAGCTTTATAAAATGAAAGAAGTTTCATACAAATCTATGCTTGTGATTGATTATCGTTCTATGGTAGGAGATCATAGCTCAAATAGAATGGCTGCTACATGGAATCTGTCATTCGATGAAGCTTTTTATTAACCTATGGAAGACATAAGAATAAAAACTTATGAATATAAACAGTGAAAAAGTGCAACAGTAATGTAATGACTAATCAAGAATATGATTTGACTGTTCTCCAAATAAAAACTGAAAAATGACTCATGTTAATTTACTGACCAGTATATGGACAAGAAAACTCTATCGACTCAAAATCTGTTTTTTTTTTCGAAAAAAAGAATGTAAAAGTCTAAGGAAATAATAATATTTATTTTGTACTTTTTCTAGCAGTCAAAAAATAATAATATCTTGAAAAGTGGTAGATATTGACTTTTGATTTATATGATAGTACTACAAAATATCGAAAAAACAACTCATCATTTCTAAATTGACATTCTTTTTATTTTGTATTCAGTTCAAGGATTTCGTTCTTCTATCATACATTTCTCGATTATTTATTTTTTTTTTTGCTTTTCTTCAATAAAGTATATCGTTAATAATTTATTACAAATCAAACTTATATTTCATAATCAGATAGTTAGGCATATAGTACTCCAGATTTACCGTGTGTTGTATTTATATTGTAAGCCTTTTCTGATGTTTTTTTTGCCTCGAGTAAGACCTAATTATAAGTTATAAAAAGAACATTTTAATCAATTTGACTATCTATCAAAATCAATCTTTTGACAAATTATTATATGAAATAATCTTTTTCAAATAAGAATAAACTATTATTTATTATTTTTCTATGTTTTTCATCAAAATAATTATTCAAAATAGTAACACTTGAACAATGACAGTAGATTGTTTATTCATCAATATTATGGTATTACTTAACTAAAGTTCATCGGTCTCGTCTATGTAATAGATGTAAGAAAAAGAATTCTAAT